TATGAGTTTTATAGACACAGATCTAACGAGATTAAGAAAAGGCCTGGGGGCTGGGGAGGTGGCTCAGTGGTAGAGTGCTTGCCTTGCATGCATGAGGCCCTGGGTTCGATTCCCCAGCACCACATAAGCAAAAAGATAAAAGCTGGAAGTGGTGCTGTGGCTCAAGTGGTAGAGTGCTAGCCTTGAGCTGAAGAACTGAGGGACAGTGCCCAGGCCCAGAGTTCAGGCCCCACGACTGGACCCAAAAGAAAAGAAAAGGCCTGGTTTAAAAAAAAAAAAAAAACAAAAATGGCCTGGTTCTCCAACATTTAGAGGACCAAAAGTTGAAGCAAAACCAATAGGCAAGAAGGACTGGTGAAGAAAGTCAAGTGTTTGGGGGAGGGAGGGAGAAATCTTAGAAGTAAAGTGAAAGAAATTATTTCAAGAAGTAGAATGTACTCACATTGGTCAAATACTTCTAAAAGGCAAAGTGAGAACAAAACATTTTCTGCCAGGTCTGGAAAAGATGTTTTTTGGTAATTTTGACCAAAGGAAAGTTGATACAACAGGTAAGAAAGTCTAAGAGGAATAGGGATAAAGAGGAAACCCGCTCCTTAACAATGCCTAATGTGGCCCCACCTCAGCGCCTGTACAGTTGCTATGTCTCATCTTCCTGGCATAGCTACCTCCCCTCGATCCCTCTAGACCTTTCCAAAAATCTGCAATCACAAAATAAGTACCTTTCCCCATTAATTACTTTTTAGTTTAACTTTTCTTTTTCTTCTCTCTTTATTATGTTACTAGCCACATACTACCTGTACAAATTAAGGGTTTCACTGTACATTTCATACTTCTATCTTTTACTGATCCTGTGCACTTCACTTCTTTTGTTTTTTTTTTTTTAATTCTGGAGGAAGTAGGGTTTGAGCTCAGGACTTGAGTTTTCTAGGCAGGTACTCTACCACTTGAGCCACAACTCCAGCCTAAGCTTGCTTTCACAGCACTTAGCAAAACTTAAAATCCTATGATTTTACCATTTGTGTGCTTGTTTGTCTAGCTCCACTGAGATAAGACTACGGTAAGAAATAATGTACTATGGCTGGGAAGGTGGCTCAGTGGTAGAGCACTTGCCTTGCATGCTTGAGGCCCTGCGTTCGAGTCCTCAGCACCACATAAACAGCCTTGGGCTGAAGATCTGAGGGACAGCACCCAGGCCCAGAGTTCAGGCCCCACGACCAGACCCCCCCCAAAAAAAGAAAGAAAGAATGTACTACAACTATTTAAAGGTAATAAAAGTAAGCTTGAAAAAGAATATATAACAACTTTCAGGGAATTTACAGTTTTCTAAGTATATCATTCTTAGAAAATCTGCACAATGATTTATAACCTCAGTGGGAAATTTCCCATATAGTAACAAAGTTGGTAACTTTGTAATCATTGGCAAATGTCCTTACTACTCTTTGGCCACAAGGTTTACTGTTTGTTGACCCCAAGTCCTCTGATTATAACCCATTATGTGATTTTTATCATAGAACATTTTCATTTTAACCTAACTTTGGAGAAAAACTATGCTAGCAAAATTCATGTTAGTCATCAATTTTTTCATACTGAAATCAAAGCATGAAGTACATAATAAAAATAAGGAAATAGAGGTCATCTCAAAGTTCTCAGGAGAAATGAAAGTTATAGGGTATTTTCAATTATAACTCTACTCCAATTCCTATCTCACATGGAAACCAAGATGAAAGACATGCCTTCTGGTCCATAAAGGAACTCAATCTGTGATTGCGGCCCTTGATAAAGTCAGAGAATGACATCTGATTCTTTATAAGGGCTTCACTAAATAATAAAATTATTTCTAATTATCAGACATTTCACATTTTGTAATATACCACTTCATTCTTGACAATTGTAATCGATTGAGTCTTTAGCTTTTTTAGTGGTTCCATGTTTAGACCAAGTATGTTTGTGTGGGTGTGTAGGCTGATTTGGAAACTTTCTGGGGGGTACTGGTCTTACTATTTTCAGTCAGGACACAAAAGGTCCTTCGGTTTAAATCCCCATTAATCATTTCCTAATTGGTTTATAACCTGCCAGTAAAGTTCTGCCACAGCTTGTCACTGGATTAAATAACAAAGAGAATTAGAATAATCTGTCTCTCTCTTACAATCTAATTTATTTTTGTTTGGATGGTACTTGAGTTTAAACTCAGAGCCTTGCACTTGCTAGGCAAGTGCTGCTCTACTGCTTAGTCACACATCTAGCCCAGTTTTTCACTGGTTATTTTTGAGATACATTCCTTCCAGGAATTTGTCTGAGCATTGATTACACTACTTTAGACTTCCAATTTTTGCTGTGATGACCAGAGTATATGACTGAGTCTGGCTGAGATGGAGTCATGCAGACTTTTCTGTGAGGACAGGTGTAGAAACAGGATGTTCCCATTCTGTCTTTTATATAGCTTGGGACGATAGGCACATACTATTATGCCCAATTATTGGTTAAGGAATTTCTCAAACTTCTCTACCTGGGCTGCCCTCAAACTAGGAGATTCTGTCTCCAAGTAGCTAGGATTACTGGTGTGAACCAATGATGCTCAGCCAATAATTTTGTCTTTGGTACATTTTTAGGTAATAATTAAAATATAGCTCCCATATTATATACCTTTTTGATATTAATGAAGTATTCCTTTTGTTTTGGGAAAAGGGATGAGTGTTTTGAAAAACCCTCTACATGCAAGCTTAAAAAAAAAATCAACTGTGGCCATTGGAGTAAAAAATGAGTGAGAGGGGGCTGGGAAGGTGGCTCAGTGGTAGAGTGCTTGCCTTGCATGCATGAGGCCCTGGGTTCGATTCCTCAGCACCACATAAACAGAAAAAAAAAGTCGGAAGTGGCGCTGTGGCTCAAGTGGTAGAGTGCTAGCCTTGAGCTGAAGAGCTGAGGGATAGCGTCCAAGCCCAGAGTTCAGGCCCCACGACCAGATTTAAAAAAAAAAAAAAAAGAATGAGCATAAACTAATACTGAACATGATTAACATCTACCAAACTGAACAAGATGCAGGGAAAAGGAATAGATTTTTTTTTTTTTTTTTGGCCAGTCTTGGGGCTTGAACTCAGGGCCTGGGTACTGTCCCTGAGCTTCTTTTGTTCAAGGCTAGCATACTACCACTTGAGCCGCAGCTCCATTTCTGCCTTTTTTTTTTTTCCTGTTTATGTGGAACTGAGGAATCGAACCCAGGGCTTCATGCATGCAAGACAAGCGCTCTACCACTGAGCCACCTTCTCAACCCCAAGGGATCTTATTGTTAAAAATGCTATAGACTCAGCATAGTAGTTCATACCATAATCCTAACTACTCATAAGGCAGAGATCAGAACCATTATGTTTCCAAGTATGGGCAAAAGTTAGTAAGATGCTCATCTCAACAAATAAGCCAGGCTCAGTGGCACAAAAAGGATAGGGAGGATAACTGTGGCCTGAGGCTGGTCCTGGTGGTATTAAAAAACAAACAAGCAAAACAATCAGCAAGCCCCTATCCAAAAAATAAAGACAAACGAGGTAGAGTGGCTTCTTAGTAAGCAAGAGTCCCTTAGTTCAACCCACAGTACTGCCAAAAATAAAAAATGTAACATCTAAAACAGATAATTCATTCAAAAAAATCTTATTTTGAATACCTACAATATGCTGTACACTTTTCTATGTGCTGGAAACACAAAAGAAATACATCTCCATCTCCTGGAATTTATCTTCTCAGTGTGAAAAAGAAACAAGGCAAATAAATAAATGGAAAGATATTAGGAGATAGTAAGAACTATCTCTACATTCTAAGACCATGTATGTATTATGAAGAAAAATATGAAAAAAGAGATAGTGTTTAAATGAAGTACTTTCGTATCCTAACAGATGGCCTATAAGTTTTATGACAGGGTAGATTTTTGTTGTTGTTGTTGGTCATGGGGCTTGAACTCTGGACCTGGGTGTTGTTGCTCAGCTCTTCAGCTCAAGGCTAGCACTTCTCCCACTTGAGTCACAGTGCCACTTCCAGCTTTTTCTGTTTATGTGGTGCTGAGGAATCAAACCCAGGGCCTCATGCATGCAAAGCAAACATTCTACCACTGAGCCAACTTCCCAGGGTAGATTTTATAATATAACAAGGCTTCTTTTTTATAATCAATCTTTAAACATATTCATACAGAGCATAACTTTAAAGTTATGTTTTTGAGGTAGGGTCTTGGTATATTGCCCAGGCTAGTCTCAAACTCCTAGGCTCAAGCAACCATCCTGCCCTAGCTTCCACAGCAATTGGTATCAAAGAATAGGACACCTTTCTAATTTAAAATAAAAAGGTTTTGTTTTTTTTTTGTTTTTGCCAGTCCTGAGGCTTGAACTCTGGGCCTAAGCACTGTCCCTAAGCTTTTATGCTCAAGGCTAGGGCTCTACTACTTGAGCCACAGCTCTACTTCTGGCTTTTTGTGGTTAATTGGAGATAAGAGTCTCATGGACTTTCCTGCCTGGGCTGGCTTCTAACCAGGATCCTTAGATCTCAGTCTCTTGAGTAGCTAGGATGAAAAATGTGAGCCCCTAGCCTCTAGCAAAGACTTAAAAAGTGAATTATTAGTGTATCTTCACTCTTAGGGATGTAATTCAGTGATAGAGAACATGAATAAAGTCCTGGTCTGATTCCCTGATATGTAAACAAAGAAACATACAATATAATTATGTTGACTTACAACATAATTCTCTACATTCATATTATGTAGTTTAAATAAACTAGAAATTAATTTCCATCGTTAGTATGCCAAGCAAGATGTAACAATGCTTCATTTTGTTTTCCTATATAACAGAATACTAAAAACTTATACGTACATAGAAAAGCTCATTTCCCATTTTTTTTAAAAAAGGTATCAATTTTACAAGATAAAATGCATATAAACTATTATTATACTCTGGTTACCTGTTACTTCTATTTTGATTAAAATTTTATAAAATGCAACCTGGCAACTTCAACAGAATAAAGCTTACCTTCAGACTGGTATGGGAACGTGGTTGACTTAATTCCTGAAATTTCCACTGCTCTGATCCTGGGGTCTCACCGCCTTTCTGAGTGTCAGGTGTAAGCAATCCATCTCCAGCAGGTAATGGGAAAATCCCTAATGATATAGGGCGTTCTTTTCTATTTGAAGAGGAGAAAAAAAAATTAAACATTCATTTATTTTTATTTTGCCATCGGATTGTCACAATTTTGTAATAAACAGTGATTCTTAAGTCATACTGTCTTTCTGTCCAGCTGAGTAAGTGAACTTGCCAAAGAAAAGTCTACGAAATTTAAATTAGCCTCAGAAATTAATTTAGAAAAATGTCAAGAAAGTTTAGGAAATATGGTTAAGTTACTGATAACTCTTCCCCTGGATGTAGTCAATGGTCTAGCTTAGTTTCACTTGAAGTGCTATGATGCAACTGCAGCCTTTTCCTTTAAAGGAGCCCTGCCTAGGGCTGGGAAGGTGGCTCAGTGGTAGAGCGCTTGCCATTGCATGCATGAGGCCCTGGGTTTGATTCCTCAGTACCACATAAGCAAAAAGAAAAAAGTCAGAAGTGGCGCTGTGGCTCAAGTGGTAGAGTGCTAGCCTTGAGCTGAAGAGCTGAGGGACAGCACCCAGGCCCAGAGTTCAGGCCCCACGACTAGACCCAAAAAAAAAAAAAGCTTTAAATGGTTGGAGGTATAAATTCAGGCCTAACTTTCCTACTAAATCTACAATTCAAAATACAGGTGCCGGTGGCTCATGCCTATAATCCTAGCTACTCAGGAGGCTGAAATCTGAGGATCAAGGTTCAAAGCCAACCAGGGCAGTAAAGCCCTTGATACTCTTATCTCCAATAAACCACTAGAAAACTGGAAGTGGCGCTGTGGCTCAAGCAGTAGAGCGCTCGCCTTGAGCTGAAGAGCGCAGGAACAGTGCCCAAGCCCAGAGTTCAAGCCCCATGACCGCCCCCCCCCCAAAAATGCTTTAAATGGTTGAAGGTATAAATTCAGGCCTAACTTTCCTACTAAATCTGCAGTTCAAAATACAAGTAGAGCCAGTGCCAGTGGCTCATGCTATTCAGGAGGTTGAGATCTGAAGATCTCAAAGCCAGCCTGGGCAGGAAAGTATATGAGACATTTATCTCCAATTAACCACCAGAAAACCAGAAGGGGTATTATGACTCAAAATGGTAGATTATTAGACTTGAGCAATAAGCCTTGGGGATAGCACCAAGCCCCAAGTTCAATCCCCACAACTGACTTCTCTTCAGATACGAATTAACGGTCTGACAATAAGGCCAATAATGCTTTTCATTACTCTCTGGAAAAAAAGTGTACTGCCATATACTCCTCTTGTTATTGTGTTAATAAATTACACATATGAGTTGAGGAGAGGGAAAAAAGGCATGTAATTATGCAAATTCAACAGAATTTTACTTTTAAAAAGAAACACTTAGAAGAAAACTGTAGTGCTATACTAAATTGGTAGACATTTTTGCTACTGCATGTATTTAATTGTCACAAAAATAACCAGAGAGAGAGAGAGAGAGAGAGATCTGTAGAAAAATACCAACAGGCAGATTTATACCCCAAGACTGAAACACTCGCTATCACTCTCTAGTAATACTACTGCCTAATATATATAAAAACAAAGCTATCATCAACTGTTTCCAATTAACCACCAAAAAGCTGGAAGTGAAGATGTGGTTCATATGGTAGGGGGCTACCCTTGGGCACAAAAGTTCAAGGACAGCACCCAGGCCCAGAGTTCAAGTCCTGGGACTGGCACAGTAAAATACATACATACATACATACTTCATAGATATGTCTACTTTTTTAAAGGATGCATTTGTTGAACACTCACCAGGTGTTCAGGTACTGATCCAGATAAGTTATTAACTTATCTCTTTTAATCCATACCAGAACATTGGGATTACTTTTCTGGTTTTCAGAGTAGAACTAATTATGCTCAAAGAGTTTAAGTAATAGTAACTGGCCAGGATTAAAAGCCAACTCTAGCAAGGTCCTTGTGGCTCCACCTATAAACCTAGCTACTCAGGAGGCTGAGATCTGAAAGATCAAGGTTTGAAGCCAGCCCAGGCAGTAAAGTCTGTGAAACTCTTATCTCAAATTAACTACCTAAAAACCAGAAGTGGAGCTGTAGCTTAAAGTGGTGGAGCAGGAGACTTGAGCAAAAACTCTGGGACAGCGCCCAGGCCCTGAATTGAGTTCAAGCCCTACATAGGATCAAAAACAAAAATAAAAAGTCAGCTCTGGTTAAAAAAAAAAAAAGTGACTATGAAATCAATATGATTGTGCAATTTACTTTATATATATATATATATATATATATATATATATATTAATTAAATGCAAATCTAATCTCACTTTTGGGGAGGATAAGGGGGGGAATCAGTCATGGGGCTTGAACTCAGGTCCTGGGTGCCATCCCTGCCTTTTTAAAATGATCCTTCAGAGGAAAAAAGTCAAGCACAGAGAGCGTAAATTGCCAAAGGTCCAAATACTGCTCCCCAGGGGCAGAGCAGTCCAACTCCAAACCCCCTCTTACCCACTTCCTGGCACTGCCTTCTCAAATGGATCTTAAGACAACATTAATCTTAGTTTAATAATTTTATGCTGGGTGCCAGTAGCTTATACTTGTAATCCTAGCTACTCAGGGGACTGAGTTCTGAGGTTTACAATTCAAACTCAACTCAGGTAGACAAATCTATGAGACTCTTATCTCCAACTAACTTGCAAAAAGTGAAGGTGTCACTCACCAGACCAACCTTGAGTAAAAACCCACTCAAGAAAGAAAGGTCAGTGGCTCTGTGGCTCAAAGTGATAGGGCACTAGTCTTAAGCAAAAGAGCTCCAGGACAGTGCGCAAGCCCTGAGTTCAAACCCCATGACTGACCCAAAGGGGGAAAAAAAAGAATTGCTAAGAAAGGTCTTGCAGGGCGCCAGTGGCTCATGCCTATAATCTTAGCTACTCAGGAAGCTGAGATCTGAGGATCACGATTCAAAGCCAGCCCAGGAGGGAAAGTCCATGAAACTCTTATCTCCAATAAACCACCAGAAAACCGCAAGTGGCCCTGTAGCTCAAGTAGTAGAGTGCTAGCCTTGAGCTGAAGAGCTGAGGGACAGAGCCCAGGCCCAGAGTTCAAGCCCCACAACTGATCACACACACACAAAAAAATTTGCCCAGGCCCTGAGTTCAAGCTCCATGGCCAACAACAACAACAAATAATGATAATAATAATAATTTTTTTCTTGAGTCTATATATTTTTTAGTTCCTTAAAGCCTCAATATACAGATCTATATGCAAATCTTTTGTACTAATAATACATACAAGTAATTAGAGCCGTTCCTGAGTTAATCAGGAAGGAGCTAGGCATAGTGGTGTATGTATAGACAAGAGAACTAGGAATTTGGGGGCTAGCCTGGGCACTACTTAGAGTTCTAGGCTAGGCTGAGCTCCATATACTATCTCTAAATAAATAGATAATACACACATTTATACATAATTCAACACTTAGTTAAGACTGTAGATGAAATCTAATTTGTGTCTTTAATTAAAATTGAATATGAACTGGCCTACAAAAGAAAAGGAACACATTGAAGGACCTAACTACTTGAATTGTTCTTAATTTATCTAAGTCCACAATTAGTATTTACATATTTTGTAACTGTTTAAATAATAAAAACTATGTATTCTGAACCTTCTTTTAAAATCATGTACAAAACAGAAATCTGAACAAACCAGATACTTTGAGTTTGATATATTACAAAACATTAAAAGCCCAAACTGTAAGCCTCTAAAATGCAAAAGATGGCTCTTACAAGCTACAAGCAGAGCGAACAGCAATAAAGCTACAGAGATTAATGACTACCCCCACAAATAGGCATGGGTATTTATCACCCAGGACTACAAAGAAAAGAAAGGGTGACATCTGACCCAACAATAGTGAATAGGCTTTGCAAAGCTTTCCCAACTTTGATGTGCGGAAATGCACTGCTGCCCTAAAAAGTTGAAATTCTTTTACTTTAAAAGATATTTTATTTTAGGAGAAAAACATTTAAATTTTTGCTTCCTGTGAGCTGTTTTAAAATTGTAAAATTTTAACTTAATAGCAAAACCTCCATCAGGCAAAGGATAAAAATTAGAACAAAATTAATCCATGGCCTATGACTAATTTTTTGCAAGATCTATCTAGCATAAAAGATATTTGTTCCTAAATGCTCAGAAGCTAAGCCCAGAGGTTGCACACACTTAAACCTGGTGCTCTACTCTGGCTCTCAGTTCACTCTTTGAACATTATCTCTAAAACAAGATCACAATGACCTTGTATAATATAAAAACCCTTTTCTTTGGTCAGAAATTTCTAAACACAGAGCAATATTCCTAAGTGGTGGCCTCCAAATTACTATAAATAGTAATAGACATTCTAGCTTCAGGCCATTTTCTATTGTTTCAATCTGCAATAGAAATGGTTACAAAGCAGACCATGGCAATAAAATTTCTTAAAACCAGCCACCCAGGGGCTTCCAAAAGACTAGAGTACCTGAGTATCCTTGGTAGGTTCTGCGTCAGAGCTGGCACACCAGTAGAAATAGAAAAGTGCACAAGCAGCAAAACAGAGAGAGATACTAAGATAGCAGAATTAATGACCACCGCCCCGCCAACAAAGCCAAACACAAACAGCAGCATGCATCCAGGACTCATGGCGCTGTGCTGGCATGGTGAAACGTCCGAACCAGGAGGCCTACACGGGGGCCAAAGAAATATCTTTGTAGTGAGGATCTGTCATTCAGCTGCTGCCACAAAAACAATGCCATCAGCAGCAGCTTTCCACTCCATCCTGCAGCAGCTCCCAAGCGATGACGTCATTCCGCTATCCTCACCTCATAACCATAGAGCTGCTGCTCCTAGCATTTATGCAGCAATCCAGAGCGACAAGCAGCCTGTTAACTATTTTCCTCTCTAGTAAGAATCCTAGCTTAGCTCATTGGCTACAATGCTAGAGATCTACATAATTTATTCATGCTCCTACACCAAACAGATGGCTAGCTAATCCTTTCAAACATGCCTCTTTGCAACAGAAAGGACCAACAATATAGGAGAAATAAAAATATTTTTGCATTTCCACAAACTAGAAAATTTCATACCTAGTTTAATTTTCATTAAGTAACAAAAACAATCAAAATACTGTTTTGATATGCTGTTTATATAAGCATAGGTCACAATATGCCTTTTTAATAGTGAAGTTTCTTTCTATGTTTCCACGCTTTTCTCTTGTACAGCATTCCAACCACAGAGAGAGCTTTCTGAATCAGCCTAACTATTGTTCCAGGATTAAAGAACAAAAGAAACAGAAATAAAAAAGACATTATTTCACTTTTTCTCAAGGCAAAATATACGACAAAAGCTTACCTAATTCTACTATGAGCTGTAGACTCTAGTTGATCACTCCCTGAGAGTTGATGAAGTTTTGTTCTTTCTAAGTGCTCCATGTAATTATGGATCATCTATTTTCAGAAAGAAAGAAAAATAAAACACAAAGTTTAAGGCTGGAATAAAATAAAGTATTATAATAAGCCAAACATTTTTGTATTATTCTTATTTATAAGATAACTCTCAATCCTATGTAGATTATTAAGAAATTAAAAAATTAATGGTAAAGGAATATGCAAATGATAAAATTTAAAAGATGCTAATGTTCATAAAAATAGCCAATTTCTTGCCTATCATAGCCAAAAAAAATGTTAAGTGTATGCCAAAATAATATTGGTATAAAGAGAAAAATAACAGCATTTGAGAAACTTTTTATTAAAATGTGAAATAAGTTAATGTGAAACTTCAGAAAAAGCCAAATTCTTAATGTGTTTATCTTTTTCTCATGTTAAGATGGACTAGCAAAGATTATTTTCAACTTATTAATTTCAAACCACGACGTTTATTTCTTGTTCTGTAGACTTAATTGAGAAGGCTAAAATATTATTTTTGTTTGCTAACTTACATTACTTAACATAATCATCTATAATAATAGCAACAAGTTAATGCAAGTGAAAAATACCAAAGCTTTTTGAGTTTTAGCTAAGGAAACATGACAAAAATGCTAACTATGGAAGTAAAAAAACTTCAAGAATATAAAGTACAAAAACTAATAAGAAATCATAAGATCTATATTTTCACATTTAAGGATCCTAAATTTAAAATTATGGCAAAGATGTAAACATTTCAGGTACTAGTGGCTCATGCCTATAATCCTAGCTACTCAGGAGGCTGAAACCAGCCTAGGCAGGAAAGTATGTAAATTTTTTTTTTTGCCAGTCCTGGGCTTGAACTCAAGGCCTGGGCACTGTCCCTGGGCTTTTGTTCAAGCCTCGTATTCTACCACTTGAGCCACAGAGCCACTTCTGGCTTTTTCTGTTTATGTGGTACTAAGGAATCAAACCCAGGGCCTCATGCATAAGCACTACCACTAAGCCACATTCCTGGTCCTGTAAGTTTTATCTCCAATAAACTACTCAAAAAAGCCAGAAGTGGTGCTATGGCCCCTTTGAGCAAAAGAAGGGCAGGGACAGTGCCCAGGCCCAGGACTGGCAAAAAAAAAAAAAAAAAAAGGGAAGTGAACCAGTTTTGATCACAAAGGGGCCAGTGGTGTGCCTGCCTAGTATGTGGCAGGTTTGAGCCCAAGAACACACACACACACACACACACACACACACTAGAAGTAGAGGTGTGTGTACACACACACACACACACACACACACACACACACACACACACACACACACACACACAAGCTAGAAGTAGAGGTGTGTCTCAAGAGACCAAACCTACCAATTCTTCCTGCTTTGTTTGGTGGTTAATTGGAGATAAGAGTCTCATGGACTTTCCTGCCTGTTCTAGCTTAGCCTGTTCTAGCTTTGAACAGCTTTTCAGATCTCAAAATCCTGAGTAGCTAGGATTATAGGCAAGAGCCACTAATACCTCACAATAATGTTTTTAGAAACCCTAACTTGACTTTTTATTTTATTTTTTTTGGTCATGGGTCTTGAATTCTGGGCCTAGGCACTGTCCCTGAGCTCTTCAGCTCAAGGCTAATGCTCTACCACTTGAGCCACAACACCTCAGATCTCAGCCTCCTGAGTAGCTAGGATTACAGGCATGAGCCACCAGCACTCGGCTCTAACTTGAATTCTTAAAAAATCATTTTATTGGGGCTGGGAAGGTGGCTCAGTGGTAGAGTGCTTGCCTCACATGCATTAGGTCCTGGGTTCAATTCCTCAGCATCACATAAGCAGAAAAAGCCGGAAGTGGCACTGTGGCTCAAGTGGTAGGGTGCTAGCCTTAAGCTGAAGAGCTGGGGGACAGCGCCCAGGCCCAGAGTTCAGGCCCCATGACCGACAAAAACCAAATAATAAAAATAAAAAAATAGTTTTATTGTTATTATAAAGGTGTTATACAGAGGGGTTATATAAGTCAGGTAAAGAGTACATTTCTTGCTCTCTCCCAATTTTTCCCTTCTGTCCCCACACACAAGCTAATTTGAATTCTTAAATATTGCATAGTAATCATACAGAATTGATTTGTTCAAATGGAAGAATATAAGTTTTACTTTAAGCATTTCAAATGAGAAAACTGAAATTTCCCCCAGATTGCTTTTCTAGTAATTAATCTATTAACTCAATATAGAAAAGTAACTATAAATAAAATACAGAATTGTTTCCCTAAAAATAGTTCATTTTGGTTGATCTTCTGTTGCCTTAAATGCTTAATATTTAAAATTTAGAAAAAAGCAAAATAAGACAAAAGTTTAGAAAACAGTGAATTCTAAACCTTTTTCCAATGATATGATATTCTAACATTTCAAAATGGTCCAAATTAATGAAATTACTGACTAAACTAAACTAGCACTCAATAGAAGAGGGTAACAACAAAATGACAGCTATCAATTTACTGAGCACCAATGTCCATTTTAGCCAGTCTATTTATAGCTATTGCTCATTTAATTATCACAACATCAGAGATAACCCCTAGCTGCAGATTAAAATAATTTTCCCAAGCCAATAAGCTAATAATTGCTTTCTGTCACTAGGCTACAACTGAGATCTATCACCCTCAATCATCTGAGCAGTTAAGCATTACCGGACTTATGCTGTATCTGTCCTTTTAGGTATTCTCTAAGCTGGCAATGAGCTCATTGTCCTTTCTTCCTCCCACAGGAAAACCCCACACTCAAAAGCATTTCCTGACATCTAAATTAATATGTACAAAAAAGGTAGAAAAAATAAACTACAAATAAAAATTTATTTTTTAATAATAGAACTTCAGAGTATGGGCTGCAGACATGGCTCAAATTATAGGGCACCAGTCTTGAACAAGAAAACTAAGCAAGCTCAAAATCCCTGGGTTCAAGCCATGGTACTAGCAAAACAAAACAAAACAAAAAACAATAAAGAAACAAATAAGCCTGTTTTTCAAAATAAAAGAACCAATGTAACCAAATAATAAAAGAAGTTCAGCCTGGCGCCAGTGACTCATGCCTGTAATCCTAGCTACTCAGGAGGCTGAGATCTGAGGATCAAGGTTCAAAGCCAGTTGGGGCAGGAAAAGTCCATGAGACTCCAATTAACCACCAGAAAACCAGACGTGGCCCTGTGGCTCAAGTGGTAGAGCAGTAGCCTTGAGCTGAAGAGCTCAGGGGCAGTGCTCAGGCCAAGTTCAAGCCCCATGACGAACAAAGAAAAAAAAGTTTTCGTGTTACAAAAACCTACTTTGGATGAAACAAACTAGAGGGAGAGCCTCTCAGGGCATGGATAAAGCTATAAAAACAGCAGTGTGGCAGGCAGCCTGAGAAAGTTGTCATGTTTACACACAGGCCCAGATCTTTGATCCCATAATAATGATTTTCCTGATATCCTTCTTCCAAGTCTGACTGTTCTTTCCAAAAAGTGGAGAACCAGAAATATTTTCAGATGAAGTTGATGTCAGTTTTTTTTCCTGTAGAAACGTATGCTCATGTTTGCAAAATGGTTGTGTGGAGGAAAAATATAAAATTTCACTTTAGAATCTCTCAAGAATGTATATATTTTATATACACCTCAATTTTACACTAAATAATTGAATAATTGCTATTACAAACGTTAATTAAGGGGGCTGGGAAGGTGGCTCAGTGGTAGAGCGCTTGCCTTGCATGCAAGAGGCCCTGGGTTCAATTCCTCAGCACCACATAAGCAAAAAGAAAAAAGCCCGAAGTGGCGCTATGGCTCAAGTGGTA